TTACATCCTGATCTGCAGGTAGGAGGCAGAGAGAGAGAGAGAGAGAGAGAGAGAGAGAGAGAGAGAGAGAGAGAGCGAGAGAGAAAGACTGGGCCTAATGTAAAGCCCATCCTGTGACACACCTTTTCCAACAAGGCCACACCTCCTAGTCCTTCCTAAACAGTTCATGAACTGGGAAATAAACTTTCAAATATATGAGCCTATGGGGGCCATTCTCATTCAAACCACCATACCAGGGATGGAGTGTAACTCCCTAATGATGAAGCCGTGCACTTTATTTTATTTTATTTATTTATTTTTTTTGGTTTTTGGAGACAGGGTTTCTCTGTGTAGCTTTGCGCCTTTTCCTGGAACTCACTTGGTAGTCTAGGCTGGCCTTGAACTCACAGAGATCCTCCTGCCTCTGCCTCCCGAGTGCTGGGATTAAAGGCATGCACTTTAGAAACAGGGCCTGAAGATCCCTAAACTGGAACTGACCTGAATGCCCCTTCCCTGAAGACTAGCTTTCATGGCACCAGAAGGCACTATACCAGCTTCCAAAGGAGGGAGACATTCAACAGTCCTACCCAGCTATGGCACCTATAAACCACATCCACAAGCAGCATGCATGGTGACACTCTGGGCACAGTTGTGGTACACATACTGTGGTGGTTACCAACGGCTCTGTAATTGGACTTCAGACCCAGTCAACAAGAGGGAGACCATGTCTGGTACTGGAAACCTAGGTAAGTTACTCAGTTCTAGTGAAGTCATGGTTATTGAAGGAGAGTCTACAACCACTACTAAACTAAACCAGCACAATCCCTAACAAGGATCTGTAAACATTTATCCAGATAAATGCAGTCTTCACCCCTCACCACGGAAACCTCTCTTCGCAGTAGCGGGAAACCACTGCAGAAAACCACTTCAATCAATATGTAGAGTTGTGGAGCCCAGTCTCAATGGATACATCTTCAGAATAACTCCCACACCAAACGCTCAGGGAACATCTTGGAAGAGGGGGCAGGAAGACTGTAAGAGCCAGAGGATCAGGGAGTTGGCTGAGAGATGATGTCTGCTAGTTACGTCAGAAGCTACACCTGTTAAGTGTCACCAACATGACTTCCCAAGCCTGAGCTGGACAAGGGTGACACCAACAAATGTGTAAAACTGGACGGGGAAAAGGCCTCACTCCTGCACAAGGAACTATAGACAACTGAGGCAAGCTGGGAATCAGACAGGCGGCCTTCTCTGGGGATGGGCACATCAATTGGTTTTCCAGTGCGAAATGGTCAGCCCTGGAAACGTACATACAAGTAACATCATACAGACTGAACAGGATTATTTAGGAATATGTATATATACATATGCAAATAGGTATGCAGTGGCAATGAATGAAAAAAGAGACCACGAATTTGAAGGAGAGTGGTGGGGGGAGAGTGTACGAGAGGATTTGGAAGGAGGAAAGGGAAGGGAGAAATATAGTTAAACTGTAATATCAAAAGTAAACAAAATAATAAAAAAATCCATCCTGGAGGGAGGAGGGGCTCCTGAGAGAGGTCCCACCCTCCCTGAAGAAGGACTGGCAGTTAGTGTTGCTGGGGGAGGCAAGGTAATTTTCTTCAGTGATGTAGCCACAGATAATTTGCTCATGTAAATCATCTCCCACCCACGTTCATTCAAGGAACTCATTGAAATTCAGTGAGCCCCAAGTCCCCCCGCCCAACTCCGACAAACAGACAGTAAGAGAAGTAGAAGTAGAAGGGAAGAGGTGCTGTAGAGAAGGGAGACCGTGGGAACGGGAGGGGGATGAGGGAGGGCCGTGGGGGATGGAAAGGGATAAAATACATCACACACATGGGTGGTATTTTCAAAAAATGGAAACATTGTAAACCTCCAAATTTAATGAGAGAGAGAGAGAGAGAGAGAGAGAGAGAGAGAGAGAGAGAGAGAGAGAGAGAGAGAGAAAGAGAACAAACACTGAGTAGGCTCACCCCAGACACTATGTGATTCCTGTGGATCTGTATTTTTTTTTTTTTTTTGTCATTTGTTAGCATAGCATGTAAAGTGTACCTTTCCTTTTTTTTTTTTTTTCTTTTTTCCTCCTGGCTCTGAAGCTTGTTTGACTGAAGAAATTTTGGCTACCCAACTCACTACTCTAATACACACACACACACACACACACACACACACACACACACACACACGTACATATATGTATTTTTTTTTAGAGAGGGGTTTTAGGTATCTATCTTAGGCTGATCTCCAACTCATTATGTATCAGAAGATGACTTTTGAACGCCCAATCCTCCTGCCTCTACCTCCTCAGTGCTGGGATTACAGATGTGCATCACCATGTACAGTTTTTGTGGTGCTGGGAATCAAACCCGGGGTATCAGGCAAGCTAGGCAATCACTCCAACAACAGAGCTACATCCCCGAGTACTAGAAAAAAACTTCAGTTCTTTACCCATTTTTATCAAAGGATTGAACTGAATTCTTTCTTTTCTTTTTTGAGATGATTTCTTGCTGTGCAACCAAGGCTGGCCTGGTATTTGAGGTCCTTCGGAGCACTGAGATCACACACCTGTGTAATTACATACCCGTGTCACCAAACCTAGTTGAACGAAGGTATTTATAGGAGTCTCAGCTTTGAAAACGGCTAACTAGACAGCCGAACATATGTTGTATCTCATATTACCACTAGGGGGCGCGTATCCTTTCTCGTGTCTGTGCACCAAGGCTAAGGTTTAAAAGACTTGAAATGCCATCCTAACACAGGATATGGTGGTGCACATCTCTAATCTTTGGACTAGGGTGGCTGAGATGGGAAGATGATGAGTTCTAGAACAGCCTGGGCTACAGAGCTAGAGAGAGAGAGAGAGAGAGAGAGAGAGAGAGAGAGAGAGAGAGAGAGAGAGAGAGAGAGAGAGAGAGAGAGAGAGAGAGAGACAGAGAGACAGAGAGAGAGAGAGAGAGAGAGAGAGAGAGAGAGAGAGAGAGAGAGACAGAGAGAGAGAGAGAGAGGAGAGAGAGAGAGAGAGAGAGAGAGAGAGAGAGAGAGAGAGAGAGAGAGAGAGAGTTTCCAGACACCCTTGCTGCCCTTCAAAAGGGTTTACTTTCTTTGGCAGGGGTGGGTTGTGGGTGGGTGGAGGAACGGTCTCTACTCCACAAGTTTGAAGAATTAAGTCAGTATGGAATTAGTCTAGTCTAGTAACTGCTCATGAGGCCCACAGCCTATACTTACCCATCACTGGCTAGAAGAATCTACCATGGAAAGAGTTCCCAGAAAACCTTTCTCCAATTCAGCCTGTTCCTTTGCAGTTTCACCCAAGAGGTCGCCTGTTCAGCTCAACCCCCTTTTCTTTGTCATTTCTGTCCCACACTCTCTCCTACTCCCAGACTCTTGGAGGTCAGGGCTTCTAGAACTCTCCACTCCTCACTGATCTGTAAGTCTTCACATCTTTAGGCTTATAGCATGGCCATTTGTCTTCCCCAGTTCAAGCATCCAGGCTTGTGTTTGCAAAAGCAGTTTGCCTCCCATTCAAGGATGTAAATCTCCTTCAGTTTGACACCTGGCTGGAGAAGGGGCTAGAAAGGCTGTCTCTTCAGCTGTCAGATCCACTGGTGACAATCTGCAGATGGAATCCACAGCCTGGTTCAAGTCTAAACACTCCAAAGGAGGCTGAGAGCCGACACATGGGTATGTGTCCAGCAAGACCCAAGCAGTATGAGCTCCTGGACACTTTTCAAGGACAATTCTATAAACCAAATACCCCTCCCCCAAAGTTACCATCTCCTTTGCCTGGGCAACCTTCCTCAGAGATGTTGAGAAAATATCCAGAGATGCAAAGAGGCCCTCTGATCCCCCGGCTCAACCAAGACTTCCTTTCTAAGGGCCATAGTTCAAAAGCAGAATCCCTGCCAAGAAACCGTCCACATTCAGACACCAGAGATCGAATACTGCATTGGGTTGGAAAGGAGACAGTCATCTTTGGTATGCAAACATCCTGAGAAATAAAACCTGAGATCTAGGAGGAAAGGGAGCGGCATAGACGTGGTCCAGTTCACAGGGAACACCCATATGTGGAAATGCATGTCGCTTGTCCTGTGGGCAATGTGAGGTTTTGTATCTCTAGGGCCCCCAAACACAGCCACTGCCCAACACGCTATGCCGCAGGCATGCTAAACATTTGCTGATTAACTGGCTCTGCTGAAAACCAGCCTGCTCCCGGTCTTTGCTCATGGAGTTAGAGAGGAGCCCACACAGTCAGTGTTCCACTGACTTCCATAGAACTTTCTTTTTCCCATGAGAAACATGTCAGATAAGAATTAGAAAAACAGAAATGAGGAAAAAAAATAGTATGAACAGATAGTTGTAACTCCAGTTTTGCTTCTAGAGGATAATAATTGCTTCAACCCAGGAAGGAAGTGGAAAGATAGAGGGTACAGAAACATGTACATGTGTACATATATTGTATGCACATCTATTAATATAACATAGGGCATATTGCTCCTTCCCGAACCAGTGCCCTGTACTTCTAGATACACAAAGCACAGAAACAGAGTGTTTGCTTATGTCGATGAGACCTTACTAACCCACACTAGTTTGTGGTATGGGAGCGTCCTGGTCCCGGACGCAGTGAGCCCCCTCATCTAGTAAGACAGATGAGTCATGCATGATTCCATTACTTCTTGCAACTAGATCCCCAGAAGTTTCAGAAAGGGTAGGGAGGGAAGAGAATCAAAGACTTGACAGTCCCATTTACACAGACAGACTTCTCGGTTTTGTCTGATGAGGATTAGGAAGAAAGGGGCGAGGATTACCCCTGATTTATAGCCCCTGACAAAAGGCAGCTCTGAGCAGGGAAGCCAGCAAGCGGATTATGAAAAAAAAAAAAAACAAACGGAGAGAAGAGAGAACAAAGAACAAACGACATTCAGTAATATTTATTAATTTGATTTTAAATGGAAAAGGGACCCATTCCAGTGGTTCACCTTCCTACGAACCCTGGCTTTCCCCCAAACCTTGACGTCCTGACTATGAGGTAGATCAGAGCTGTTTTGTACCAAGTGTGAGAGATGGTCTAAGATGGTGCTTAGAGAGTCATAGTGAGGGGACAGGGACAAAAATCTCAAACTGTTGTTTTCTCCTGGCTTCCTGCCCTCAAACTAACCAGAGACACAGAGCCGAGAGAACCAGCAGCCGCTTCTTGGGGTCAGGAAAGCAGAAAGAAGGGAGGTAGGTGGGGTGCTTTCTTTGCCCAAAGCACACAGCACACACACAAGCAGAATGATGGGCATCCCTCCAAAGCCATAGGGCTGCTTCCAGGGCAGCCGGGCACAGGCGGCCTGGCATCTCAGCTGCTGAGGTAGTAGTGAAGTTCAAGGTGGGTCTTAGAAAAGTGAGGCCCACTTGGTAAGAGTTCCCCTTCACATCTCGCAGTCTCTTCAGCAGGCTCTCGAGAGCTGAGGTTTTCTGCACGGGGACTCACTCTGAGTAGAAATTAGAGGTTTTATCAAAATTCTGCATCCATGGAGTCGTTTCTTGTTTTTCTGGCAAAAAAACAAAATAAAACAACCCCCCCCCCCCCGCCAAACCAAAACATAAACTCCCAGAAGTCCTGCAAAATGGAGATAATATTTCTTGGGGTAACTGGTCAAGGTATCTGGAATCAAGCACCAAAGGCAAGCGGGCAGTGACTCAGGAACCCTGCAAAGCATTTTTACTTTCCAAAGGTATAGGGACCATCCAGCACCCCTCCTCAAATCCCACCCCATAGCTCCAACCCTGTCCCTGAGCGGGGCGGTGCAGCTCAAATTTCAACTCACAGGTTTCTGGCCGGCTCTCGGTGGTCCTTCATGTGGGGAATGGCCGCTCACCTTCATAGCCGCCAAACCTTTGAGAGAAACCGGAGCTGAGGTCGAGGGGTTGGGAATGCCATTATTCTCGGAGGAAGTCCTAGCCAGGTGTAGAGATGGCTAGAACCCGGGCAGCTGAAGAATGTAACTAGGAAACCCAAACTAGAGGCGACCAGGAAGGTCAGAAACCTGCTGTCAGAGTAGCAATTGCTTGTGAGGCTCACCTGGTCCTAGGGTGAGCAACCAGTCCGCCCCTTTGCCTCAGTCCCAGGGACGGGATCCAAGAAAGGGAAGGACCCTAGATTGCATTTTAGTTCTTACTCCTATTCTAGCCTCTCTAGGCAAAAGGCCCTTCCACCCCCGCCCTCAAGCCCCAAACTCAAAAGCAGAGACAGAAGGTGTCCCCACCCAGAGCCCCCGGTTCTCTGCCTGTGTCCCCTACCTGTGGAGCGGCCGGCTCTGCTTGGATTCGGCTGAGCTGGCTCGAGCCGCTGCGGCTCCCGCGGGACCGGCTGGGAAGGGGACAGCGCGTGGCTCCTCCCGCCCGCGGCCACCGCCGCTGCACAGAAGGCGGCGGAAAGCGTCGCGGAAGTCCGGGCTGCGGCAGTAGATGAGCGGGTTAAAGGCGGAGTTGGCATAGCCCAGCCAGTTGAGGGCGATGAAAACCCCGCTGGGAACTAGAGAGGGCCCCGCGAGGGCGCGCAGCACGTTAGCCAGGAAGAAGGGCAGCCAGCACAGAGTGAAGATGCCCATGATGAGACCTAAGGTGCGCAGGGCGCGGTGCTCCCGGAGCGGCAGGAGGCGCGCGGGCCGTCGGCCGCAGGAGGGCACTCCATCCGGAGCCGCGCTTGTCCCGCCGGTGCCAGGGGACGGAGAGCGCGACGGAGCCTGCGGAGACTCCTCGGGCGGGAAGCGGCCCAGCTCCCGGCGCAGCAAACGCCGTTGGCGCTTAGCCACGACGAACACGCGCGCGTAGACGAAGAGCATCACTAGGAGCGGAAGGTAGAAGGAGACGGAGGAGGAGAGCAGCGCGTAGGGCATGTTGGAGGCGAAGGAACAGCAGCGCGGGTTGGAGTGACACTCCTGCGCCTCGGCGTCCGCCCCCACGCGCCACCACTGGCTCATGATGGGCGCAAAGGACACCGTGGCGGACACGATCCACACAAGGACCACCGCCGCCCGGGCTCGGCGCTTGGTAACCAGCGTGCCATAACGCAGAGGGTTGGTGACAGCCAGGTAGCGGTCCACAGCCAGGGCGCACAGGGTCTCGATGCTGGCGGTTACACAGAGCACGTCCACCGACGTCCACAGCTCGCATCCAGTTGCGCCCAAGGGCCAATGGCCAGTCAGCGCCAAAGTGGCCCCCGGTGGCATTACCAGGAGTCCCACGACCAAGTCAGCTGTGGCCAGCGAAGTCACGAACACGTTGGTTATGGTCTGGAGTCTCGGCGTGCGGGCTATGGCTACGATTACCAGCAGGTTGCCTCCCACCGTGGCCAGCGCCAACAACGTCCCAGCCAATGCCGCTGCCCATGGCACCCCTGGCAACCCACTCGTGTTGGCTGCACTGGGGTCCAGTGTCGGGGCATCTGACCACAAAGCCAGAGAGCCGTTCTTGTTTGGCCACGGAGCCATTTTGTGTCTTGCCCGGGGTGGGAAAGTTTCCCCTGACCCCCTGGCTCAGGGAAGGGGACCGTCGGACTTGGGAGCGACTCCTCCAGCCTGGGCCATCTTCCCTAGTTGCTGGGGTAAGTCTGTCAGCTTCCCTCCATCTCACCCCCCAACACCCTAGATCCCAGGAGGAGTGGCTGTTTTTTAAAGGCACAGCGCCCAATAGTCAGGAGCGGAGAGGCCTCTGGTGGGAATTGGAGGGTAGAGAGGGACGTCCTGCCGTGGCACTCCCTCAGCACCGGTTTCCTGGAGCTCGGCAGCTCTTTCCTGGCAGGGCCTGCAGCAACCCCCCCGCAAAGGAAGGGGGAACCTCCCACCCTCCCCTTTGCCCAACAAAGAAGGGGACCCTCTCCCAAGACAACAAAAACCATCCAAGGTAGCCCCTCTTCTGCTTGGACGCCCGTAAGGGTAAGGTTTCCTATTTGAGATAGGATCTCCATATATTGCTCAGAATGGTCCGGACCTCCAGATCCTTCTGCCTCAGCCTCCCCAGTGCGAGGATTACCATCCTGTGCGCCACCACTCCCAACTCTAAGGTCTGGTCTGTGAAGTAATAGCAAGTGGTTGATGTCCTTTCCCCTCCCAGCTGATGAGGCCTGTCCCCTTCTCTTTCTTCAGTTTTGCTCACCCTCTGTTCCCGCCCACTTTTTTTTTTAGTTCTTTTTTCTTCTCTTCAGTTCCTGGAACATCACCTTGTTTCAGGAGTCACTCTCCTTTGACTTGGCATCACGGAGCGTGGGATGTTGAGGGCTTCCGGTTTCCATCTCCCTCCCGCACTGCCCCTTCCACACCCACTTCTCCTAGAAAACTTTGAGATAAGCCCCTTCAAATTCTGAAGTAATAAAGACACACCAAAATTGAAGAACGAGGGCTGAGGGTGTGGTTCAGGGGTAGAGTGCAGCTTTAGCCTGCCTGGGGCTCAGCATTGAAAGGAAGAGAGGGGAGAGGAGAGGGGAGAGGGAGGCGGGAGAGAGAGACAGAGAGACAGACAGGGTTTGAGCTAAAATTTGTCTAGTGTTCTCAACCTGTGGGTCACGACCCCCACAGGGCCTGCGTATCAGATCTCCTACACATCGGATATCCCGCATATGAGATATTTACATTCTGATTCATAACAGTAGCAAAATTATAGTTATGAAGTAGCAACAGTAATTTTATGGTTGGGGGTCCCCACAACTTGAAGAACTGTGTTAAAGGGTCACAACATGAGGAAGGCTGAGAACCACTGAGCACCACCCTCAGTTCTCAAAAAAAAAAAAAAAGTCACCTTTCCCATGGTGAAGTGTTTTCATCAACTTCTTGGAGATTTATTCCTAAGGAACTATAATTGAGGAATTGAGGAAATCCTTTGTGTGCACATGAATGTGTGGGTGCACCACATTTTCTTCCTCTACTATTTTCCACTTTATTACCTTGAGGCAGGGTCTCTCACTCAGCCAGGAAGCTCTTGTTTTGGCTAGGATGGCCGATCCTGAGCGTTGAGATCCACCTGTCTCTGCTTCCCAAGGCTGGGGTTATGGGCGTGTGCAGCCATGCTCAACTCTTTCCTTGGGTGCTGGGGATTTGAACTCAGGTCCTCGGGCTTGCAGAACAAACCCCCTTACCTACTGAGCCATCTCCCTAGGTCCTTACATGGCTTTGCTGGAGTGTGCAGAAGGGTAAGCTTGGTATTTAATGCCTCTAAAGTCTCTTATACTGTACTTTCCCTAACCGAAGACCAGCGCCTCCCCATTCTCTCCCCTCATCCAGACTTACAGGGCCTAACTCTGCCTTCCAGGTTCCCAGTCTTTAAAAACGGTCCCTTCCAGACTGGGGATGAAAGGCTTAGAAATAAGATGGCTCCCTCCGTGAAGGGCTTGCCTTGCCAACAGAAGGACCTGAGTTTGATGATTCCCAGGACCCATGAGTAAAGCAGCCTGGAGTGATGGCCTGCACAAGTAATCCCAGAGTTGGCCTATCAAGACTGGAAACAATGGGACAAAAGAGGAAAACAAAAAAGTACAGTGGAAAATGCCTCCAGGGTGACCCCCGGCGTGTTCTTTTGAGCAGCTCTATATTTCAAAAGCACACTGTATAGTTAGTCACTGGTCTCGGCAATCCCTCTGGGAGGCTGAAGCAGGGGCTGGGAGTCAGAAAGGTTGGAAGGGGACGAGGGAACCTAAAATTATCCCCGAGGAAAAAGGAGCAGCTGGGCTCCCAGGAACGCAGCAGCTCACTCACCCATGAGCAGGACTGTCAGGGGCTCTCAAGCAAATGCTTTCCCTGTCCCATGGAGTAGCCCAGGCAGCCTTCCTAGCTCCCCTCTGCTGCCCCTGCCCCTGGCATGCCAGGGTGGTGCAGGCTGCATTTGGCTGTGGCTTCTTGCTGATCATCAGGGTGATTGCACCCAAGTCGTGTTTTGCAACACCCCAGAGCGCTGCCAGTTATCACAAAGGGGTGTCATAAGATTCTCCACAAGCAATCTCTAAAACTAATACATGCCCTTTGGCAATTTCTTTCTTTCTTTCTTTCTTTCTTTCTTTCTTTCTTTCTTTCTTTCTTTCTTTCTTTCTTTTTCTTTCAGGACATCAGAGTAGGTTGGGGAATGAGAGCTGTCCTAAGACACACTCAAAGGCTGTCATTGCTTTAGTGAATGACCTTGCTATCTGAAGAAAGTGGGCAAAATATTTACATTTTTGAAAAAGACCTAGCGTCCCCAAACCTTAAAAGCATACCTGTGTGTTGTCCTGAAATTAAACATTATGAGAATAAATGTGTCAGACTCCTATTCTCAAAGGCCTGTGAGCCGGCAGAGACATGTCCAAGTACTCCACCTCCTTCCTCTTCTTCAGATATTCTTCTCCTCTCATGCCTCAGGATGAGGCTCCCATTATTTTGCCATTATTCTTTTTTTAAATTTTATTTAAGATTATTCAACCATCAAAATACAGAAAATGTATATAACAGAAAGTTGCTCTCATCCCACTGTTGGACTACTATTGGATCTCATTGATTCTTCTAGTAACATTTGATATACAAACAACTCAATATAAAAACATTCTCTTTTAGCCATTTTTCCCCACACAAATATACCTCATCCTGTATTTTTAAATTTTAACATAACTATATGGAAATAACTTATGATCCTTCTAGATCAACACACAAAAGATGCCCATTTTTAGTGTGAATGGATATAATACACAAAACTTGCTATCTACTAATGGATACCTGATTTACATCCTGTCTTTATTAACAGGTGACATTACAGTGTATAATTAGTACCCTGGTCCTTTCATATCTGTGTAAATCTATTTGTAGACTTTTCTATGAACAGAACTGTTATATATAAATAAGGCATACACATTTGTAGTTTTGGAAGTGATTGCTACATTTCTCTCCCCAGACAATATGTCTGTTTCCACCCTCACTATCACTTTTGGTGGCCAGCTGGGGGTTGCAAGCCAGTGGCCTGCTGCTCTGGAAGCCATCCTAATGGATGGGCCTTGGGGAATTAGCATTGCCTCTTCTGTAGAGGTCGTCCAACTCTGGATAGACAGATACATTGCCCAGAGAGAGCGCATTGCTCAGGCCCCCAGTCCCCCATGACCTTTGTTTTATGCCCTTGGAAGCAATCAGTGAGTGTGGGCCCCTAAGATGCTGAGGGTGGACCCCCAGGTCTCTGGCTATGTGTTAGAAGCTCCAAGGATGTGGGTTCTATCTGGAAGAATAGCAAACTGTGGTGAGTGGAGCCAGCAGAGGCAGCAGCCAGTTGATGGACAGAAATTCCAAGAGCAGGAGGTTTGCCCCTCCTGGCGAGCAGGAGCTATGGTCCCATGAACATCAAGACTGGGTGCTTGTACATGTGTTTACATGACACAGCAGGAAGAAACCAGGGAGGGCTTGTGTGACTGTGGCCTTGTACCTTGTCTGAAACCACATGTGTTAGAGGTAGGTGTCTACAGTACATGTATGTATGTTTTCTATTTTGGATGCTGGCGATTGAACCCAAGGCCTCATTCCCATTAAGCACATCCTCTAACTCTAAGATATACTTCTAGCCACAAAGAAGTGTCTGCATTCTACCAGTCATAATCTACCCATTTTGCTTTAAGGTTCTTGGAAGCAGATGGGTGTGGTGGATTGTAATTCTTGCACTTGGGAGGCTAAAGCAAACAGATCCTGTTGTAGGCTAGCCTGGGTTACATAGTGATACTCTGTCTCAACACAAAAGTAGATAAAGAAGTTCTTGGATGCAGGCAAGACTGAGTCGCCATCTCCTCCTCCTTTTAGTTATCACTCTCCTCTATATCCTGCAGTGATTACTCTTTTTTTTTTTTTTTTTTTTTTTGAGACAGAGTTTCTCTGTGTAGCTTTGGTATCTGTCCTGGATCTCACTCTGTAGACCAGGCTGGCCTCGAACTCACAGAGATCTGCCTGGCTCTACCTCCTGAGTGCTGGGATTAGAGGTGTGCGCCACCGCCGCCCGGCTGTGACTACTCATTTTTAGGGATTTGATGAACGTACATCAATCTGAACAGTGGTTTCTGTATTTATTGTTTCTCCTTCTGTAACAGTCTAAGGGCTCAGGACAGAAGTGGCGTGGCTTGCGAACAACAGCTAAGGGCTAGGGATATAACATTCACCGAGGCCTGGGTTCCATCTAGCATTACATAAACCAGAAATGGCACCACACACCTGCAATCCCAGAGTCCAGGAGGTCAGACGCTTAGGGTGTTCTCGGCAACATACCATGTTTTGCCAGGCTCGGATACTTGAGGCTTAGTATTTAAAAAAAGTTCTCTAAGTAGTTTTCCTTTCCCCTCCTTTTTACCAGTGCTGGGGACTCACACATGCTAAGCAAGCCCTACCACTGGGCTATATCCCCAGTCTTCATTTTACTTTTTAGTTTTACACAGGGTCTCATGAAGTGGCCGAGGCTGGCCTTGCAGTCACTTTGCAGCCTAGGTAGGCCCTGAAATGGCAAT